GCTTATGATTGTTTATCCGATGAAGATATGATCAGAGAGTCAACTACAGTCTGTCTTTCAGGACCGATCGGACACATACAAATAGCGAATCAAGGCGCCTAAGGCAGCAGTAAACGCAGTCTCGGGAATCGAACTGCTCCGCAGAAGCCACTTGCAATTATCTTGAGAAACATTATGTGGCGACGCGAAGAAGAGAGATGATACATTGTAGATTTCCTTCGCGCGATCGTCACACAGTTTAGCCTAGTCACACGGACAGCCCTCCATTAAAGGTTAGTGCTTATTCGCAGGTTTTTTAAATTATTTTACATAAGCCATCCGAAAATGCTGATTCTACTCTTTTTTTATTTTTGTCTTTCAGTCATAATTCCTTTTCTTTTTTTCTTCCTTGGTTCTTTTAGTTTATTGAACTTTCAAGCTTAAACAATATTTCTTTAGATAGATCTTTTTAGTGACACGCTGACTTAAGTCCTCACCATATTTTGTATGGAATCCATATGGAACGATGAATTTCCATTTTGTCTATTTGTTATACATTGAAAAATCTCGTTACTCTAAGATAATATTTTTTGATTGTTAGTTTCGGTTTTGTATTCAAATATGTAATCGGCGCAAAATGTACCACACTTCTCACGCAATTATTTATGCTCTTTCAGGGCATCACTGCTGGCGCTTCAAATACGGAAGGTCAATATTATGTGCGTATTTAGTGATTCTCATGGAATGTAAACATTAAGTATCATGAACTTGGCGGTCAGAAGTATGGTAGTGTGCTATGTACTGACGACTATTTTGTATTGACTTAATATGTTTTTATCTTTCGGACAAATTTTCTACGTTTAATATTTAAACCACTTCGCTGAAGTTTTCTATCTTTTACAGTTAACGTTTTTAAAGCAAGTCCATCTTGTTTCCGGCTTGTTTTCTTGCATTTTCTAGTTCACGTTTTTGTCCAACTGACAAAATCGCCACTTGTTTCTTGTTTGAAAATTCCAAATTTGGCCATTTTGGCGCGATTTTAAAAGTCTCGCCAAGACACGCTAAAGTGAATTTACCAGGGATAAATTAAAAGATATTAGCATATTCTTTTCAGGCCCTGAAATCAAACAACGATAACATAAATTAATTTATATCTTAAAATGTTAACCATTACTCAATCTACTAAATAAAATAAATCTGTATGAAAGCATGATTTGACGTGAAACATGGTGTTTGCGTTTTAAAATCGTTTTCTGAGATTTCTCACAGTTGTGGGTGTGTGTACAATCAACGATTCGTTAACGTTAACCAGCTTCCCATCGCTTGAGCTACGAATTTTAACGTTGCATACCCTAATAATGTCAATATTTAGACATTTATGATGTCGACATTTCTAATATTTTCTTTTAATGAATGAAAGTTGGCCTTGGCGCGATTTCAAAATTGCAAACCAAACTTAGCATTGTTTTTTTTTTTTTTGCTGAGCGTTAACATCAGTGAAACTGAATCAGGTAGCATATGGAAATATCTGCTTAAATAATTCTTGCTCGCCAGATAACCTTTCCGTGAATTCTGCACATTTTTTTATATAGAATGACTTTACAACTATAAATGTATGTTTTGATTTTATGAGGTATTATAATTTCTATATGTTGCAAATGTATCTTTTAAGTAAATTTTAAAGATTAAAAATAATCTCTGTTGTAATCTAATATTTCAATAATTTTCTTTAATAAACTGCCGCAATATGAAACGTTATTTTTAAAAACGTTGCTTATATCATAGATTTCGCAATGTTTATCCTCGGCTTTTAATCAAAATTCAGAACCTAAAGACGATGATATTAACTCATAAGCCAAAAAAATTTTGTTTTTCTGTCCAATGTCAAATATGCCCTGTCCACTGCATGGCGGTGGCAATGATTCCTTTCACCGTACCGGATCCCTGAAGTAAACACGCTGCATTGGGAACCTACGCAGATGTTCAGGGAGGAACGGAGGAAACTAGTATGTGAGGAAGCTGGGCAACATCTTGGACTCGGTCTCAATCCTGCCTTGAAAATTTCTAGCAATACGCTTTAAGAAACTGAAGTGCTCAAAGCAGGCCTGTCGCCCGCACAAGGATGCATGGAATAATGCAAGAGGCCCTCGGTTGTGTTGGTTTTCGGAACCGGAGGTAATGATCGATAGGAACAGACGGGGGCATTCGTACTGAGACGCTAGAGGTGAAATTCTTGGACCGTCGCAGGACGAACTACTGCGAAAACATTTGTCAAGAATGTTTTCATTGACCAAGAACGGAAGGCGATCAGATACCGCCGTAGTTCTGACCGTAAACTATGCCAGCCAGCGATCCACTGCTGTTTGAGAAAGGACACGCCGGGCAGCTTCCGCGAAACCAGAGTTTCTGGGTTCCGGGGGAAGTATGGTTGCAAAACTGAAACTTAAAGGAATTGACGAAAGGGTATTATCAGGGATGGATTCTGAGGCTCAATTTGATTCAACACGGGAAAACTCACCCGGTCCGGACACGGCGAGGATTGACAGATTAATGGCTCTTGATTCCGTGGGTGGTGGTGCATGGTCCTTTTTAGTTCGTGGGCATGAAGTGTCTGGTTAATTCCAATAACGAGCGAGACTTTTGCCTGCTAAATAGGCTGTTCCGTGATGTTACACGGTAAGATAATCTTCTGAGAGGAACAAGCGGTTTCGAGCCGCACGAAAAAGATCAAAAACAGGTCAGTGATGCCCTTAGATATCCAGGGCCGCACGCGCAATACCATGAAGGAGACAGCGTGTGCTTTTTTCGTGGCCGAGAGGTTCGGGCAACCCGCTGAAACGCCTTCGTGCTGGGGATAGGGGACTGTAACTGCCCCCTTGAACGAGGAATCCCCAGTAGGCTCGAGTCATTAACTCGTGCCGATTAAGTTTCTGCTCTTTGTACTCACTGCCCGTCGTTAATACCGATTGAGTGACTCGGTGAGGTCTTTGGACCTGCGCCTCCGTTCCTTAACGGACACGAGGTGACGGAAAGATGATCGAACTCGATCACTTAGAGGAATTACAAGTCGTAATAAAGTTTCCGTAGGTGAACCTGCTGAAGGATCATTGCTTGAACAATATGCTTGTCACATACCGGGGTTTGGGGTCCGCCCCGTCGAGCTTCTCACAGGCGAGGTTCTCTGTGCGTTGAAGGTACTTTATTTGGAGCGCACGATCGAAGGGACCGAGTCGAGGGTGTGTTCGGAAAGCCCACGTTGACCGGAGCTTGCTCCGCAGTCGGAGATGTTGGCAGCTCCGCCCCAGACGAAGCGACGACCGAATGGTAATGCAATAAAACGAGACTCGGGACGGGGTGGCTCCTTTGGGGCTCGGAGACCTGAGAAGTCTCTCGTAGAGGAGGCTGCGGCGGCCGATCTCGATGGATCGGGTGCGAGTTTGGCGTTTTGAGAGGCGGAAATTATTAGAGTTATTATTAGAGCCTCGAGGAGGTTCGGATTCTGGTGGGCGAGGTGTCGGTGATCCCATGCGGGGGCAGGGGTCGTCCGGTGCTTGGCTCGTTCGGTTTGTCTCTTCGAGGAGTTGTGGATTCTCCCTTTCTTTCGTCTTCCTGCCCGGGTGCGCCGTGGCCGACTCGAGGTAAGGTCTTTTTAAACGATGCCTCCAACCCCAGAGAGTGATGAGAGAGTTCAAAATTGTCGCCTGGGCGGTTGGAGGAAACGAGAAGCGACGACGCATTTATATTTTATTTGGCATATTAAATATTTAGAGGCTGTCTGTGGATCGACCGGATGAAGTGGAGATGGAGCCTTCGGGCGGGACTGCCGGGAGCGGTTGGTGGTGCTCTGGACCGGCGGAGAGGAAGTCGGGGAGCTATGGCCGTGCGGTGCGAGGGGCCTGCGTGTCCGGGTTCGGACTGGTTCTGGAGATTCGGATTCAAGCGTGCGAGGTGTCGCTGATCCCATGCGGGGGCAGGGGTGCGTTCGGTTCGAGTGTCGGATTCCGGTTTTGGATTCGGTGCGTTGCGTTCCGGACTCTGCGCCGTCGTCTCTTCCTCGGTGGGTGCTCTGCCGTAGGGAGTTTAATGCCTCCGATTAAGGTGTCTTCGTTCGTCGTGTGACGTTTCCGGGTCGACGCCTCCGATCTCTGTGGAGTGTCGTTGCGGATCGTAGCCTCTTTCTCGTTCGGGTGGCTCTCCAGAATTTTTTTTTGGAATTATTTATTTTCCCGAGTCTCTACGAGTGGAAACGGTTGTCGCCTAGTCTCGAAGAGGGCGTACCTGCTTCCCGGACCTTCAAGGTCTATGGGGGTCTGAGCTCCTTCGGGGGTTCAGGCTAGGTGGGAGAGCTGCACTGTAGAGTGCACCGCGCCCTTATATTCTCTGTCCCTATCCCCACCAACTCGAACAAAATGACTATGACAACTCAAAGCAGTGGATCACTCGGCACACGGGTCGAAGAAGAACGCAGCTTGCTCTGATAATTAATGGGAATTGTAGGAAAAATTGAACACCGAACTTTCGAACGCGCTTAGCGGCCTCCGGTCATCCGGGACTGGAGGCCTCGCCTGTTTGAGGGTCGTATGAAACCTAGACTCTAACTTTTGAGTCCATTGGCCGCGTCAGGTGACTCCTCCCGTCGGCTTAAGTGCGAAAGGAATTCTTCCGAGCCGTGGGAGCGGTGTCCGGGGGAGCCTTTCCCCCGCAGGGCCACTCTCCGGTTCGTCCGGCTGCTCGCTTGAGGCGTTCCCCACGAATCGGGAGAAGGTACCTTAAAGACTTATTTATGAAACGACCTCAGATAGACGAGACTACTCGCCTAATTTAAGCATATTAATAAGCGGAGGAAAAGAAAACAACTGTGATTTCCCTAGTAGTGTGGCGGTCGCGAAGAGGGAGCGCAGATTCGAACCCTGGACCAAGGGGTCCGAAGTCGACGGGCCTACCAATCAGGCCGAAAAGATACCCCATCGGGCTGGTTGAGTAAGGCCTTTTAACCAGTGGCGCTGCTGTAGAAGGAAGTCGCTACAGTAGCAGCGAGTGAACAGGGAGGAGCCCACCGCCGAATCCTTGTCTCGTGCAGGGAAATGTGGCGTTTGGGCGAGTCGGGAGTGTGGACCTAGCGTGTGCGTGAAATCCCCACAATCGGAGCATTTTCCTCAGAGGGTGTGAGGCCCATCCTCACGTGCCGTGGTTCTCTCTTGGTTCGCCCGCGAGTACGGTTGCTTGGGAGTGCAGCCCTAAGACGGGTGGTAAACTCCACCGAAGGCTAAATGAGACCGATAGCAAACAAGTACCGTGAGGGAAAGTTGAAAAGAACTTTGAAGGGAGTTCAATAGAACGTGAAACTGCTCAGAGGGAAACGGGTGGGCCCTCGAAGTCCAGTGTCGCAGGCGTTCCGCCCCGGTGTCGTCCTCTTCCGCCGACGCGAGTGAAGGAGCGCCTCTCACGTGGGGGCACCGTCCTCGCCCCCAGGAGGTGGTTCGGCCCGGGTGCACTCGTCCCCTTCCAGAGGACGCCCCATCCCGTTCGTTTTTTTTTGTGGGCCGTGAGGGCGGATACTTGTATGTGGACTCCGAATGAGGATGTTCCGATCTCATCCACCTGGGTCCACTGCGGACGGTGGCTTCCGACTCGTCGCCTCCTATTTGGTTTCTTGGCGGTGCAGGTGGGTTCTTGGGTAGACGTGCGCACGCTCTCTGGGCGTAGCCGGTGGCTCGCCTCGCACGCGCCGCTTTTAATTTTTTTTCTTTGGGGGTCGACGGTGTTGCGGCGCAGTAGGTCGGTGCCCTACCCGTCTTGAAACACGAACCAAGGAGTCTAATATGTGCGCGAGTCACCGGGTCTCCAAGAAGCCCACGGGCGCAAAGAACTTTAATGTCGGGATCCCCCACTTTCACGTGAGGGGCGCACCGATGGCCTGCCACCGTCTCAGGACGTGAGGCGGAGCCTGAGCACACACGTTGGGACCCGAAAGATGGTGAACTATGCCTAGACAGGGGAAACCCTGTTGGAAGTCCGAAACGGTTCTGACGTGCAAATCGATCGTCTGATCCGCGTATAGGGGCGAAAGACTAATCAAACCATCTAGTAGCTGGTTCCCTCAGGATAGCTGGCGCTCGATCGAAATTCAGTCACGATCGGTAAAGCGAATGATTAGAGGCCTTGGGTCCGAAACAACCTCAACCTATTCTCATACTTTCAATGGTCGTAGAGTCCTCCTTTCTCGACGTGAAGGTTGGACGGTGGATGAGAGTGGCTAGTGGGCCACTTTTGGTAAGCAGAACTGGCGCTGTGGGATGAACCAAATGCCGGGTTAAGGCGCCCGATGCAGAGACGCTTATGAGACACCATAAAAGGTGTTGGTTGCTCTAGACAGCAGGATGGTGGCCATGGAAGTCGGCATCCACTAAGGAGTGTGTAACAACTCGCCTGCCACAGCAACTAGCCTTGAAAATGGATGGCGTTCCAGCGTGGAGCCCATACCCGGCCGGTTCTCCATAAGTTTTATTTTTATTGGAGAACGGAGTAGGAGGGTCGTGGTGGGGGCGTGGAAGGTCTTTGCGCGAGCCTGCCTGGAGCCTCCGCCGGTGCAGATCTTGGTGGTAGTAGCAAATACTCCAGTGAGGACTGAAGTTGGAGAAGGGTTCCATGTCAACAGCGTTTGCACATGGGTGAGTCGGTCCTTAGCCAACGGAGAGATCCGTGCTAGGCGAGACTTTACGAGTCACGCTATGGACGAAAGGTGATCGGGTTAAGATACCCGGACACGAAATAAATGAGACCTCGGTCTCTAGTGCGGTAACGCAAACGAACTCGGAGACGCCCGTGGAGGCACCAGGGAAGAGATTGTTTCTTTTTTTCGTAAGAGGTGCGAAGTCCCTGGAAAGGTGTCAAGCCGAGATAGGGACAGGCGGCCTCGAAAGAGCACCTTGTTTCACGTGTTGTGCGTGGGACCCCTTTACGGTCCCTTGCAAATCCGAGGGAGAGTCTATGATTTTCGTGCCAGGCCGTACCTATATCCGCATCAGGTCTCCCAGGTGAACAGCCTCTAGTCACTAGAACAATGTAGATAAGGGAAGTCGGCAAATTCGATCCGTAACTTCGGGATTGGCTCTGGGGTGCCCGTTCGTCGGGCTGTGTCTCCGAAGCCCTGTTTGCGTACCGATCGGACTGGGACTCGTTCCTGGACTGATATGTGCCTACGGGGTGGAAGTACGCAGTTTTTTTTCCTTGGACTCTTTCTACATGAAGGCCCAAGCCTGCTACGCCACAGTGGTGGGCAGCCGGTTCCTGAGCCCGGAAAAGACCAGCCCAGCACAAAGGTGCTCCTGGGGGGTGTTCTCGGATATTCCTGGGAGTGCATGTGCGACTCTTGCTGTGGCAGAGCGAGACGGTTTTAAAAAGATACGAGAACCTTCCTACTCCAAACCCGTAGTGCACTATGTGCGGAGTGGGGGGGGTCTCTCGAAATTTGTCCCTATCTAGCGAAACAACATCCAAGGGAACAGGCTTGGCACTATCAGCGGGGTAAGAAGACCCTGTTAAACTTGACTCTAGTTAGACATTGTTTAGGGACATGAAGGGTGTAGAATAAGTGGGAGTCAGCTTCTGTTGACGCCCCTGAAATACCACTACCTTCATCGTCTCTTTACTTACTCGGTAGTGCGGAGAAAACCCCAATCAAATGGGTTCTGTATGGCTTTGAAACCCGTCGCCACTCGGCGCTCGGGTGATCCTCTCCGGCGAAAGTGTCCAGTAGGGAGTTTAACTGAAGCGGTATACCTGTCAAACGGTAACGCAGGTGTCCTAAGGCCAGCTTAGCGGGGACAGAAACCTCGCGTAGGGCAAAAGCTGGCTTGATCCTGATTTTCACTACGATTAAGGACCGCGAAAGCGGGGCCTATCAATCCTTTTGAGTTTACGAGTTTTAAGCAAGAGGTGTCACAAAAGTTACTACAGGGATAACTGACTTGTGGCGGCCAAGCGTTCATAGCGATGTCGCTTTTTGATTTTTTGATGTCGGCTCTTCCTATCATTGCGAAGCAGAATTCACAAAGCGTTGAATTGTTCACCCACTAACAGGGAATGTGAGCTGGGTTTAGACCGTCGTGAGATAGATTAGTTTTACCCTTCTGATGGATAGTTTTTGCGATAGCAATCGAGTTCAGTACGAGAGGAACTGCAGGTTCGGAAATTTGGTATGTGCGCCTGGCCGGAAGGCCAACGGTGCTAGGCTACCGTCCGCGGGTTAACGGCTGAACGCCTCTGAGCCGGAAGCCCGCCTAACCGGTGGCAGAGATAGCCTGTGCCGCCAGCTGTCGCTTGGCAGATTTAGGTTCCTTCACTAGGAGCCGAAGAAGCCTTTTCGGTGATCTGAGCAGTTTCGGGGGTCGACCCGACTGCGTCTCCCCTGTGCTCTTTGAAAGAGGTGTGATGCGGTGGTGGCGAATCGTCCGTAGACGACTCACCTACTGGGCTGGGTGTCGTAAGTGCGAGAGCAGCCACCTTACTGCGATCCACTGAAACTCGTCCCTCGATCGGCCGGTTCGTCCACTGGGTTCCTCTTATGGAGGGCTTACAGGGGCGGCCGGAATTCTTTTTTTTTTTCAAATCCTTTGTTTGGATCGAGATCCTTTGTTTCGAAGGGTCCCCGAGGTTAAATTTGGACTTTGAAAATTTTCGAAGAGAAAATAACTTGTGGCAATTCGTTTAGATCCGTAAGTCCCGGGAGGCGTGTGTTAGGTGCTGCACGGCTTCGAAATCGGTGGTTTCTGGACCCGAGTCCAAGACTTCGAATTTTAAAGTTTTTTTAAATTCTATGTTCAGATCCTTGTTTTCGACCAGAGTCCCCGAGATTAGGTTTGGACTTAGAAAACTTGGCCTTTTTCTGAGTCCGAAACGTAACCTCTGAAAAAAATTGGGCTTAAGAAAGTTGTTTCGATCAGAGGAATCCCTATGAATTAAAGTCCGGACGCGTCGAATCTTTTTTTCTCCTCCAAGTCCAAGAACTAGCAAGTGGGGGATTTTTTCAAAGTCCAAACCTGACCTCGCTCTACGTCTGAGAATTATTTCAAAGTCTGAAATCTCATAGGGAATCTAAACAACTTTTTTAAATCCAATTTTTTTTTCAGACTTTGTAAAAAGAAGATTCCGGAGTCGGAGTGGAAATAATTCTCAGACGTAGAGCGAGTCCCTTGGATTCGAGATTTTTAATTAAAACCTTCTTTTTCAATAATAATAATAAATATCTCAGGTGTGGAAAAAAAAACGTGCATACAAGAATACTATAAAGAATGAAGACTGAACAGTTAATGAATTAAATTTTAAAATGAAGAGTCGTCGGTTCCAATCTTTGGGACCGGCGGCTCTTTTTTTTATGCCCCTGAGATCAGGCCTTGGGCGGAATCTTTTTCAATAATCATAATAATAATAATAAATGTGTGTGAATTTAAAAAAAAAGTGACAACAGAAATGTGTTTAGATCAGAAGAATCCCTATCCATCAGAGGTTACGTTTCAGACTTTGAAAACTTGGCCTTACGTTTCAGACTTAAAAAAAAAAAGAAGAAGATTTCGGAGGGCTACTCCACGCGTCCGGAGTTTGAGTGGAAATAATTCCTCATTTCTCATTGATAGCGAATCCACTACATGATTCAACCCCGTTTCAGTTTGGTCAAGACCAGAAACAAGCATTCAATAAAGTAAAAGACTGTCTGTCTCAGAATCCAGTACAGACAAGGAGCCAAATTAGAATTACATACCGATGCTTCAAAATATGGTCTTGCTGCAATTTTATTTCAATATGATAGTCAGGGGAAAATGCACCCAATTCGTTATCTGAGTAGAAAGAATAGTAAACAAGAAGAGAAACTTTCTAGTTATGAATTCGAAACTTTAGCTATCATCGATAGTTTTAAAAAGCTTCGGCACTATCTTTTGGGAATAAAATTTACAGTTGTTACAGATTGTTCAGCATTTCAAAAGACAATAGACAAAAAGGACTTATCTACAAAAATCGTGAGATGGGCATTGTTACTAGAAGATTACGATTATGAAATTAAACATCATCCCGGTAAGCAAATGTTGCCTGTTGACGCCCTTAGTAGAACTCTCATAATATCAATCGCAATCGATGAAGTGACTCAAAAAATAACATTACAATTGTCTGACGATTATATTAAATCTTCACTACTACCAATTCAACAAGGGTAAAACAGTGAATTCATGGTTAGAAATGGTATTCTGTATAAAATCGAAAATGGTAAAGATTTGTTGGACGTAACTGAATCGATGCAAGTAAAAGTAGTCAGAAGCGCACATATTCAGGGACATTTTGCTGCTAAAAAAACTGAGGATATTGTAAGGCGAGATTTTTATTTTCTGAACATTAAAAAGTGCGTCAAGCGAGTAATTAACAATTGCGTTGAATACATCCTGATAAATATAAAACTTGGAAAATCTGAAGGATTTTTGCATTCTATACCAAAAGAAGATGTGCCTTTGAGTATTCTGCATATCGATTTTGTAGTATCTCTTCCGTCGAGAAACAAGAGTTATAAATATATTTTTATTGTGATGGACGCATTTACGAAATTTGTATGGTTTAACCCAGTGAAATCGAGAACTACACAATCGGCAATTGAAAAATTAAAACTTCAACAGAGCTTATTTGGAAACCCAGTAAGGATAATTTATGACTAAGATCCAGTTTTTACAACGAAAGAATTTACCGACTTTTGTACTGAAGAAATTATTGAACACGTCACTATCACAGCTGGTATACCAAGAGGAAATTGCCAAATAGAGATAATCCACGCAATCTTGATTTCTGTTCTTGTTAACGATGGAAGACCTCATGAAATGGTATAAACATGTTGCTGCTGTACAGAGAACCATAAACAGCACGACAAACAGAAGCACAAGGAAATCCCCTTTTGAGCTCTTGACCAGGGTAAAAAGGAAGAACAAGGAAGATTCTAGAGTATTGGAAATATTGAGAGAAGAGCAAATAGATATCCTGATGGAAAAATGTTGTGAAGATAGGGAAGAAGCAAGAAAAAATACCCTGCGAATTCCAGAGGAAAATAGGAGGGCATACAAGAAAAGGTAGAAATCAATTAAATATCAAGTTGGTGACATTATTGCCATACTGAGGATATAGTTTGGTGGAGGTCTTAAGCTGGGATCCAAATTTTAGGAACCTTATAGAATAAAGGCTGCTCATCTGCATGAAAGATACGAAGTGGAGAATATTGGAAATCGTGAGGGACTACAGCGAATGACCACTGCCGCCGATAATATGAAGTCATGGGCAATGGATTTCTAAGCCATTACCTGCAAACCACCTTTTAATATAATTTCTTTGCTTTCGTTTTATTTATTTTTCAGGTAAATCCAGATTCTCAAATTCCTGTAGAGAACGACAGCACAGTCATGACAGTCGGATCTGGAGACAGAACTTGACTAACCGGCCAGAACGTGGCCATAGAATGTCTCACCACCAGAGGGCACTGCTACTGGCAAAGCAACTTTCCACTAGGAGGGAGGAAAGAAGACGTTTTGCACGTGAAGACGCGATTACTATGTTAGAGTGTCTGTGATATCGCGGCTATAAACTTTTACTGAATAAGTCCACGGAGCACAACCTGACTGAAATGAATTTTTAGATATTACTTACGCTTTTCTCAATTTAAATTTTAAGTGTATGTACATATTAATCACTGTATATAAGAATAAATAACTTCGAATAAACCTAAGTGCCCATCATTATGAATATCTGGACAATACACACACACGTATATATACTTGGCATAATTATACCAATGAAAATTAATTAACTATAATTATTTATGACTATATTACAATTTATAATATATGATAATATTTATTTATAATAATTACATATAATTAATATTATAAGTGTAATAATTTATAATTATCGATCTTTGTCTTTTTAGATATAAATTCAGCTTCCGTATGTTTGTGGCTGCAAAACTCTTAAGATATTCGATGAATTAACTTGTGAAATTTTTACACAACGTACTTTTTATCTCGAAGTTCCTAAGGGAGAGGAAAATTCCATGTGTTTCGCAAGGTTCAAAAATAAAAAAACAATTATGCCTGACAAATGACTGTATGTATCACATTTTTT